GAAAGAAAAAATCCGCAGCCTTCTCTCTCGGCAGAGCAAGTTCCGACGGCGACCCTTTGCAACCGAGTAGCACCAGCCTGTAGAGATCAGACTGCCGCGGCTGGAGCAGGTTCCGAGTACCAGGCCCTTCGCAGCTGAAGAACACCCTAGCACCGAGAAGGAGCCCTGTTTTCTGACGAGCGCCGGCGACCGGAGAACCATCAGTTTTCGGCTGAAGAAGGCCCTAACACGCGACCGGAGAAACATCAGTTGTCGAAGCATCCCTGCTCGGCGGACGAGAGCAGGCCGAGAACCAAGAATTTCCAGCGCATCCGAGAACAGCTGAGAAGGGAAACAGCAACAACCGAGCCTTTCACTGGCCATTACCCGAGAACCCTAACCAAGTCGAGCCACCTTCTTGTCCATTTTAAGTCCCGAATAAGGTACTTTGGCTGAGTCCTATTTCTGTCCCTATTTTTGGCCGAGATATCTAGCTTAAAGAAAGAAAATTTCAGCATGCTAAATCGTTTAGTAAAAGCTTAAGAATTTAGAAGGAATTTTAGCATGTGGTGGCCTTGATTTATTGTGTGCAGGGCCTCGGTTTTAGATGATAATTTCATATTGAAATTATTGGTTTAGTGAGATTAAAGTTTCAGCTGTTACGAGTTTAAATTTCATGTTTAAGAATTCATAAGGTATAAGAAGAGTTGAGAAGACAAGTTGTGCTTTTGTGCCTTGAATTCTGTTAGAAGCTGAGCCTCGGTTTAAGTTGTGAATTCATGTTGCTAAATGAGATAAGTTTTAGCAAAGAGAAATGAAATTGCATGCTAGCATAGTTAATAAAAAGCTAAGAAGAAAAGAGAAGAAAATTTAATAATCTCTTTTCCTTGAATCTCGAAGTCTTCCTTAGCCTGTGGCCATGGTAAGGTAAGCTGCTGCAAGTATATTAGTTTCAGAGGTTATTGATCAGTTTTTGTGGCCTTCAGATTTTAGTAAAGAAAGAACAAGAATTTTGTTAGAATTTCAAAGCCTTACGAATTTTATTAAGATTAACTAAGAAAAAGAGAGAAAGATGAGTTTTTTGTTTTTTGTTTTTTTTTAAGTCAAATTTCCTAAAATGTAGATTTCGGAGAGTCGAGCCCTCGAGCGAGCATTTCAGCTTATTATCATTTGCATTCGAGGTGGGTGTTTCTAAATTTACTATGCCTTATTCTTTATAATCGCATGATATCATGATTGAGGTATGTTATATGAATAGATTGCCCTTTGGGGTACAGTTATGAGATAGTCCTCCCGACGGGGTTGTGCAGTACCCGTCCTCCCGTCGGGGTGTATGAGATAGGCCTCCCGACGGGGTTGCTATCGCTGTGTTGTGTTGCTGTTGCTGTTGTTTTGTTGCTATTGTTATTGTTGTATTGCTATTGCTGTTGTTGTGTTGCTATTGTTGTGTTATGTTGCCATTAGGGCTGTAAACGAGCTGAGCCGATCCGTGCTCGAGCTTAGGGTGCTCGAGCGCGAGCCCTTAACGAGCCGTGCTCGGCTCGTTAAATAAACGAGCCTGAATTGAGCTCGAGCTCAGCTCGTTTAACACCTATAACTAGCCGAGTTCGATCCGATCTCAAGTTTTAACGAGTTAAACTATTGAAAATCATATAAAAATTCTCTTTTCGAGCCTTATTGAGGCGAGCCGAGTTCGACTCGTTCAACAAACAAGCTTTAAAGGAGCTCGAGCTCGAGCTCGAGCTCGGCTCGTTTATCAAACGAGCTGAGCCAAACTCGAGCATTAACGAGCCGAGCCGAGCCAAGCCCCATTAATTTAATAGCACTAGTTGCCATTGTTGTTGTTGTGTTGCTATTGCTGTGTTGTATTGCTATTGTTGTTGTTATGCTGTTGCGGTGATATGAGGTAGTCCTCTGTCCGGACGGGGAGAACTCGATCAGCCCTAGATGAGACATTCAGTTTATTCATGTTGATACGTTTCTTGTAATATCTATTGCAATAACAAACCTTTTGTGTTGCTTTTTAGATATTTTAATTGTTGTGTATGTATTGATCAATCTTTTTTTGTTTTATTTTATTTTTTTCTAATTTTGTTTTCTTATGCATTAATGTTTGAAGAAGAAGAAGAAGAAGGAAAAAGAAAAAGTTAAAAAGAAAAGAAGAGAGAGAAAGAAAAGAAGATATTTAGGTTATGTTTGGTCAAACTAGCTGATAGCTGATAAGTCATCTTATAGCTTATCAACAATTTTTGAGCTTATAATTTATAGCTTATGACTTATAGCTGAAAAGCTAGCTCATATGATTAAAGTGTTTGGTTATAAGATAGCTGAAATAAAAATTTCAACGAGTTTAAGCTACCCAAAGAAGCTTATGAAATAAGTTCGAGCTTTTTAAATAAGTTTGTCCTATCAAACGAAGCTTATTTAAATACAAGAAGCTTATAAGCTAACCAAATAAGCTACCAAACGTAGCCTTAATTTTTTAAATTTGTATCATTATCTCTTTACTTTGACAGTTTTACAGTAGTTCATATGATAATTAGCATTTTTGAAATTTAATGTACTCTCTTATTTTATTGAAATATTTCTATTAGTTGGTTAGTTATATACTTTGGCCACCAAAACCCTCCATCTCGCTCTCATAATGCCTTCTTTGGGCCGGACATCGGCTCCTTCTCCGAGTAGCTGACCTCAACCTTGTGTTTGGGTAGGGTACTCGGATTTTCCGTCGAGACGTGGATCCACGACCCAATATACAAATATTTTGATTCTTGGCTTCCCTTTGGCACTGCTCTACAGCTGGGTCTCACGAATTCTGGTCCAAAAGGGCGTTCTTGATTTGTTCTCTGGGGTCAGTGTGTTTAAAGACTCTTGAGCTTTGAGCTAGCTTTTGATTGCCTGTAATGAATTTGTTCTATGTGTAGTTGGTTTTGCTGAATTTAGTTGCTGCCTCTGAAATTCAGTGTGTACACTTATTGATTGGTTATTTTTGGGAACTTGCTAAGTTCTTTGTGTGTGTGTGTGTGTGTGTGTTTNACTAGAGTTTTCTAAATAATTTGGGTGGATAGTATGGGGTTTACACATATTGACATTTAGGGGAACAATTGGAGACAAATAGATAATCGGAATCATATATGCAATTCTTGTTTTATTTCACTGTAAGTTTCTTATCTTTACTGAGTGAATCTGTGGAAATTAGAGTTCAAATAAGTTGCTGATTGGATTAAAAGGACCAGTTCAGTTCTGAATGAGCTATATTATTATTATCTTTGGTTTGTTCAGTATATGTTTATGATAAAGGTGAGATTTAATGTCTGACTAATGGTTGTATTTCAATGATCTATTTCATTGCTGGAGTTTTCCTGTTTATGCTGCAGTTCGTTGCAGTTTCCTCTCTTTTACAGTTTTCTTCTCCACTTAGGCGTAGCCGCTCTATTTCTTCAATCACATACTTGTCGCCAAAAGCTTCTGCTTCGGAGAAAATAATTGATTTTCTTTTTTCTTGACAAGCAAACACAGCCTAAAACTGTTATTCTCCAAAAACACCTGCAGTCCAAAGGTTCGGTTCGTCATGCCGTCAATGGCTTCCAGTAGCTCCACGCACATTGACAAAATTAATCAGCTCAACGGGCCAAATGCTGATTTTGTTGTCAGGTCTCTCTACCAGCATGCCAGTGATTTTTTGTTTCAATTCAACTTTTTTTTTTGTCAAATGAATGTTTGTTTTAAATTGATTTATTTAGGAAGCAGCAGCTTGAAAAGCACAGGAAAGCACTCCCGATTGCTGCAGGTACTTGTGTTTAATGTGTTTGCTTACTCATTTTTCTTGTCTTTTTTCATTTTTTTTTCTTTATTTTATTCTGGCTAGTGCATTTTCACTTCCTGGACTGGTGTTAAGATGGGTTCAGAGTTTGTTCTTTTAACAGGAGCTCAAACTAGGTAGAGATTTTGGGATTTACTTTTTTCATTATCAAGTTTGCAACCCAGTTACATTTTAACTTCAATGCATTATAAGTAAATTAAAGCTTTATGCTTTTGTCTGAACAAATATCTGCAAGGTGACAATTAACATACATCTATACTATAATAGCGTATCAAGGTGATTTTGGGGCACTTGATTGACTTTGCATTAGGTAGAAAATTATAAATTTAAGGAAGACAGGAGTATTTAGTTCATAATATTTCAATAGTGCTTCCATTATCGGAATTTGATTTCTTCTTCCCCGATAGTGGATAGAGGTGTTTTAAATTTTGATTGACTTGCATTGAAAAAATAATTCTGCAACTTATTCATACAGTGAAGATGGAGAGTGATCGGTAATATTTTATACAAGCTTTGATTTTATTCTTGCCCTTATGATAATAGACTAATATTCGAGTATTGTCTTAGTGGACTGGTTAACTTATTTTTCTAATCCATGAAATATTGCCTGGTTAACTTATTTTTCTAATCCATGAAATATTGCCTGTACGTGTCTACTTCATTATATATGTTATTGGTCTTAACCTATGTGATTGCAGAATTTCAGGTAATTTCAGATGTTAATATACTTTCTTGTCAGCTAATTTCAGTTAATTTCACATGTCATCATTGTTTCTTGCATTTGGCCTCTTTCAAAATAATCCTTAGACTGAGTATAGAGGCTAAATTTCAAAATTGATCAACTTTTACGCTTGGGATGTGTAACAAAGATTTTATCAGTTTATCATGGCATCTTTGCACGCTTTGAGAGCTTATTACATTTTATTAATGTTTTAATTTCTGAACCCCATTCGAATTATATTATGCAGTCCAAAAGAGACTCTTGGAGGAGGTTAGTAAAAATGACGTACTAATTATTGTTGGTGAAACTGGCAGTGGGAAGACAACTCGTAAGTATCATTTGGTTTGTTGAGTCCTTACTGGATAATGCTTATATAGTATATGTCATGTTTGCTTGATGTTTCCTTCTGAGTTTCTCTCCATTTACATATTAAATGACCTAAAGTCGCTCCTGGCATTGTTGTTCTATTTAATCTCTATGAATTAATTATGACTTCCTTGCAGAGTTACCTCAGTACCTATGTAATGGTGGGTTTTGCCGCAATGGTGGAATCATTGGGGTGACTCAACCAAGACGTGTTGCTGCTGTAACCGTTGCAAAAAGGGTTGCTGAGGAATGTGGAGTCGCATTAGGACAGAAAGTCGGTTATGCCATAAGATTTGAGGATGTAACTTCCGGCTCTACAAAGATCAAATACATGACGGATGGTTTGTTATTGAGGTAAATAGAAACATTCTTGTTTCCTATTGGCAGTATTAGCAGATTTACTTTCGACAGATAATTACAGAACTCCACTTTTCTCCCAAAAATTACACATATATAGACTACATGATGCAATGGTATTTTTTAAATAACTGCAAATAAAATTTTTGGTAATTGTCTCTTTTATGCATTAATTAGGTGAGTATCTACAATGATATCGAGCTCCTGGAACAAAAATTCTTATAGGAACTGACTGATGAATCTTGAATATCAATTACAGGGAAGCATTATTGGATCCTTACCTCTCCAAATATTCAGTTATTATTGTGGACGAGGCTCACGAGAGAACTGTTCAGACTGATGTATTACTTGGCCTGTTGAAGTCCGTGCAGAGGACAAGGTCTTCAGGTGCCAGTTACATGAAACATAATAATGGTCACATAAAAGCTGAGAATGGTGTACCATTGGAAAAGGAGCATGTTCAAAGTACAAGTAGTCTGAAGCACAACCGAGGGAAAAAGTTGTACCCATTAAAGTTAATTATCATGTCAGCCAGTCTGGATGCACAGATTTTTTCCAAGTATTTTGGTGGTGCAAGGGCAGTTCATGTTCAGGGGCGACAGTATCCTGTTGATGTACTGTACACTCGTCAACCGGAGACCGATTACTTAGATGCAGCCTTGATTACTATATTTCAGGTTAAATACGACCTCTCTTCTTTGATATTTATTTCTGGTTAAATACGACCTCTCTTTGATATTGATTGAAAAATTTGTTGCCTGAATGAATCTTAAAAAATGTTTCATCTTTTATCTGATATTTTTTTTTTTGGTTAAGTTTGGATTGTTGTGNTTTTTATTTTTTCAGTATTTAATATTATTTCATAAGGTACGGCTGAGGAAAAAGCATTATAGTGCACCTTCCTGCTATAAAAATTAAAAATGTCACTGGTTCTTGTTCAGTGTAAATATTTTGTGAACGCCGAAATTCTCAGTTAAGTGAATTTTGATATAATCCTACTTGTTTGTGTTAATGTTTTCTGTTTGGGCCTTATTGGTGGAACTTTACATCACAATATTTATCTCTTGTTTTATATGACCTGCTAGATACATCTGGAGGAAGGGCCAGGTGATATACTTGTGTTCTTGACTGGTCAAGAAGAAATAGAATCTATAGAGAGGCTCGTCCAAGAGCGCCTTCCAAAGTTAACTGAAAGTAAACGCAATCTGTCAGTTGTATCGATTTTCGCATCTCTTCCATCAGAGAAGCAAATGAAAGTTTTCTTGCCTGCCCCTGCTGGGTTTCGTAAGGTTGATAATTTTTTCCTTAATCTGTTTTGGTATATATAATATATTGAACTGGACAACTATATATTGTTCGCTCTCATATTGCGATGTATGCTACTGTAAGATTTTGCTTCTGTCTGCTGATTAGGTAATATTAGCAACAAATATTGCTGAAACATCGGTGACCATACCTGGAATCAAGTATGTAATTGACCCAGGAATGGTCAAAGTGCGCACATATGATCCTTCCACAGGGATTGAGCCGTTGATCATTGTTAAAACATCAAAAGCACAAGCACTTCAGCGGAGGTAGATCGTTTGAAATGACTGTATCATAATTTTTACTGCATAGTTTATATGGTTGTCAGTTACATTACTCTTTCTTTTCTTTGTGTATAATTTAGGGCTTGATTGTTTACAAGTTAATTTACTCACATTTATTTCATACTCAAAATCTATCTCAACTCTAACTCAACCCCACTATCTTTAATATTATTCATATAATTAAATAATACAAACCAATCATTCTTACATCACATCAACTTTAATTTACTATTCATACACTCACGTAATTTTAACTGTCTATCATTTCCAATCATTTATCTCCTACTTTTACATCAAATCAATTTTAATCATTTTATTTTAAATATTATTTTAATACATTCTTGAAATTCCACTAACAGCTAACCATACCACCTTTTTCAAAATTAACTATGGTTAACCAAAATAACTCATTTGAACGAATTATTTGATAAACAATCAAGCCCTTAGCATTCTCTGCGGGACAAAAGTTAAAGGAGTGATAAATAAGATTGTGTTAAATACAACACATGTAATCAAAGAGGTTTTACATGAAAAGGCCAAAGAGCAAGACCACAAAATATAATTATATTCACTGACAAGCTGTTAAAATTCAATTCAGTGGGCGTGCTGGACGTGAGGGACCTGGGAAATGCTACCGCCTTTATCCTGAGAATGAATTTTATAAGCTCAAGGATTCCACAACGCCTGAAATAAAGAGAAGTAATCTTTCGAATGTTATCCTACAACTTAAAGCTTTAGGCATTGATGATATTGTTGGGTTTGACTTCATTGAACAACCAGACAGGTGACCATTACATCAGAAAACCAAAATAACAGATAATATAGCTCTGAGAATATTGTTTGTTGCTTTATTCTTTTTTCTTTTATTCATGCAGGATGTCCATCGTCAAGTCAATGGAGTTGTTGTTCTTGTTAGGTGCTCTTACGGAAAATAGTAAATTATCCGATCCAGTTGGTAATCAAATGGCCAGGCTTCCATTAGACCCTATTTATTCTAAGGCTCTTGTTGTTGCCAACCAATTTAATTGCTTGGAGGAAATGTTAATTGTTGTGGCAATGCTGTCGGTCGAGTCTATCTTTTATGCTCCTCGTGAAAAATTGGAAGAGGTATTGCACTTTCTTCTTGCCTCATTTATCTCTGCTCAATAAATTAATGTTTTATCCTTGAAAATGACAATGGTAGTGGTCTGCTAAACATGAATTAGATGATTTCATGTCCTCTCTGTCTCTCTCTCTCTCTCTCTCTCTCTCTCTCTCTCTCTCTCTCTATATATATATATATATATATATTGCAAACACGCACCCAGGTAAATATAATCTCATCCATGATATGATAAACCAATGTAAATTTATGAGGAGTATGGGCAATGAAAAAAAAAATAAAGAAGGAACTAGTTTTGTCTTTCTTCTTCATGTGTTTTTGCTCTTCAGTTTTCATTAACTCATTTAGGTTGGGGATGATGTTCCTCTTGTACTGCATAACTTCACCAATACACACTGTTGATGCCTTTATCAATTGAACATTTTTTTTCGCTTGTTAGCATAGCTTCCAAGCAACTATACAAGGCAAAATATCTTTGCTGTAGGCAGCTAGAAAAGATAAGTTGACTGAGTGCTACTCAAATAACTTAACTGGCCCATATGGAGATGAAACTTGCATATTTCACACACACACACACACACACACACACAAACACTTACCAACCTTGCCAGTAAAGTCGATAAGGTTCACACTGCTGACTTTGTTATAGTGTTCTTTTTTAGTTTTCTTGTACATTTATCTTAAGCTGATGTTCTGAAAGGCTTAAAACTTTTTTACTATTCAGTCACGAACTGCTTTGAGAAGCTTCTCGAGTCCTGATGGGGATCATTTGACATTGTTAAACACATATCGTGCTTCTGATGAATTCTTGGAGAAGAGCAAGCAAGTAAGCAGCAATGAAAAAGCCGAAAAGAAACTCAGAAAATGGTGCAAGGAGAATTTTATCAACAGCCGCTCCCTGAAGCATGCTCGTGATATCCACAGGTTTTTCTATGGCTTCCTTGGTGTATGCTTTTATAAGGCAAATCATGTTGTTAAACTGAATACTCCTTTTCTCATTCTCACTGAAAAAATATAATTGACATAGGTCAATCATTTACTGAAAAACAGTCCCCGTTAAGTTTTGTTTTTCTTTTGATATTTTAATTGAAGCATTTTGTAAGGTGGTTTTGTAATTTTAAAATATCTGTTTCCTCGTTTTTGTAACTGGACTAAACCCAAGTGCACTTCTTCTAGTTATCCCTGCATTTTGAAGTGTCTGTGCAGGGGAGTCTTTGTTCTAGTAATCTAGTTTCAGTTTTAATTTATATATATAGCCATAAGCTACCTTGATATGTGCATACATGTGTTCTCATATATATGTAATATTCCATTTCATAAGAAAGTATTGGACCTCGTCATGCTTTTACTATTGACTTTGTCCTCTGTTTGCAGTCAAATACGGAAGAATGTTGAACAAATGGGTCTCAGTGTCACCTCGTGTGGGGATGACATGCTTCCACTCAGAAGATGCCTTGCTGCTTCATTTTTTCTAAATGCAGCTTTGAAGCAGCCAGATGGTACTTACAGGTAATAAATTAAAAGACCACCCCAAAGGTTTGGGTATTTATAATAGCGCACCGACAGAATTTTGAAGTTGCGGGAATAACTCTTGTGGGCAGAAAGTGGCATCATTTTTTCAAAACTTGTTCGTTTCATTTTTTTTTTTTTTTTNTTTTTTTTTTTTTTTTGTAATTATCTCTTAACTTTTTCTGCGGGTCCTGTGGCACCATTTAAGATGTCAATACTACTCTCTCTCTGAACTGCAATAACTGATTATTTGTTCCTCAAGTTTCGAATTCATTTGCTGTCAGGGCTTTGTCAAGTGGTCTCACGGTGCAGATCCACCCTTCATCTGTATTATTTAGAGGGAAACCCGAATGCATAATTTTTGACGAATTAGTCCGAACCAATCAGAACTACGTACGTAACGTTTCAAGAATAGATTATTTGTGGTTATCTGAGCTGGCTCCCCAATGCTATGCCTTGAGAGAATAGGTTCATATTTATGGATGGTTATACGAAATATTCTGGTACGTCTACTGAGCTCATGTATATGATCATGTAAACCAAATCCCTATCATTTTCTTTTTCTTTTTTCCCCTTCAGTTAAAGATTGGAAGCTATATCATTTCATAGTGTAATGTATGATTGTTGACAGCCATTGAAAGTATTAGAAGTATTCCATTATAAAGTACTTTTTTTAGATTTAGTCAGATAAATAAATAAGAAGCCCCACTGTATTCCGAAAGAACAGCTTCTTCATTTCTGTGTTATACAAATTGCTCCCTTATTAAGAAAAAGCTTGCTTCATTTAAAGTGCTTGTAAATTGTAATACCTCAAAGGGGAAGGTCACATTGAAAGATAATTACATTATTTTTTTATTTGATCGAACTTCGAGGATAATTGGCATGAGTGCATTTGAAGTTTGTGTTAGCAATGCATTCATATTTTAATGATTTTTATCTAATTACAATAAATTCTAATTTCTATGTCTACTAATTTTAAACAGATCACCTGTATATATCAGCAAAGGAAAGTGAGCATGAGTATTCAAGTGTTAGCTTTTGCTTATTACAACCTGTGAGGAGCTCTCACACATCCAAGGTTCATGGTTACCCTAAACTTTTGGCCAGTCTTGATTTTGAACTGAATTCGATGATTCTTGGGATTTGCTACTTTAGTTCTTGGAATTATAGGATAAGAAACACACTTGATGAAGGCGTGTAATACGTGAAGTGGCCTGTGGCAATTCAATGCTTTTTGTTGTTCCTTTCACGGTGAATGCAGAATTAAGTTGTTGCTTGTTTAAGAACGAACTCATGCAGAATTAATTATCTTTACATATTGTATTAACTAGTGGGCTTTCGGCTGTGCACACACAGCCAACTCTAGTTTAGTCCATAATTACCTTTAACATTCGGGAAAATGAAATAATAGATATGCAAACATTTTATAGAATTTATAAAATTGGCTTGAAATGAATTCACATCAATCCATCACAAATTCAATATTCCGACAATATAATAAAATATCCATCAATTATAAAAGGCGTCAATAGAAAGTTTTTTGTTTGAACACAAAATCCAAGAAGCAGGCAAAAGATTAATATCTAAGTATTTAGTAACCCGCACAACCGAACTCAATTTAGTCCATAATTAAACGTACAATTTGAGTCCCGATATCCCTTGTCGAACCAGCAAACACAAACTTGCTCTTGGTTCTCTATTGTAAGCCTGGAACATTGATAAACACCTTCACAAAACCATTGATGAGATATCCTTCTGCGAGGCAAAAGTATACTAATATTAAAATAGAACACGCAAAACTAATAACGATCGAATTTTTAAGCTTAAACAGAAAGCCATCCGGAAAACAATCATTTACAAATCAAATTGATTAGTTCAAATGCTATAGAATTATATTAATCTTCTTCATAATACCTATTTGCCAATAAATTAAAGAGCCTGGTACCCTGGCTAAGCGCCTTGAACAAGATGAGCCCACGTGAGTTTTTAAGATCATTTATCCGAAAAATAGTGTAAATCCCATCCGGACTTAAATCGAGCTTCCTCACATTCTTCTCCCGATGCACCATTTAAAAAATTTGGCCCTTTTTCAGCTGAGGCGCTATCACACAACTACTTATTTTGAAACTCATAAGTAGAAAAACCAACCTCATCTAGCAGCACACGATAGTGCATTGGTCTGGTGGTCTCCTATAAGAAAAATATACATAAGAAATATATCCATACCAAGCATTTGTATGTGGCTTTTGAAAAGAAAAAAAGCAAAAGAAAAAA